TCAGCGAGAGATTCGAGGCTGTGTGGCATAATATACAGGAAAATCATCTATTACAAAGCGTTGGAAGAAAAAAGATTGCTTAATTTAAGGTTACAAACTGCATATCCTTCGAGGCGACCTTATGTGTTAAGTATTTAAAGATCTTTCAGGTTTTAATTACACTCTGATTGACCAAAGCTAAATTATTTGAAGCTGATAGATATACCATTCAAATCTTAAGCAATATTCACACTCTGATTTCAAAGGGACCCTTCCAACTTCTTATGTATTGCCCCCTTTAATGTTCACTTTTAATTCCCCAGTCCACCTTGCACCACTCATTAGTCTTACAAACTATGCACATGCGAACCTTCGCCATTGTCCTGCCTTTTTACATTCCACACACCCGGCTCCAAATTCCGACTCCCATCGTGATCGCCCTGAATGGCCGGCACATCCTGTTGCCAGCACCCAGACGACGCGGACGAGGACGAGGACGAGGACGCCGACTACGGCGTCGGCATTCAAGGACTTAAAATCCCTTTTTATGAATGAGCCGCGGTGCCATTTGCATATTAACGGCTTGTAGCCCTAATATGTGCACACTCCTGTCCCTTGGCCCATGTCCTGCCACGCCCACCCCGTATTTGCATAATAATTTTATGGTTCGTTGCAGTGGAATAGGAATAGGAAAAGCCAAACGCCAAGACCAAGGACCATTGTTGCCGTCCAAGCAGCGGGCCATTAATGGAAGTAAAAGCCAGCACGTATAAATTATACTATTTTAAAAGTTGCTTACTTTTAAAATAAGTTTTTTAAAAATGTTGTATTTGTACTTTAAAGTGCAGTATATGCAATATATTCTTAATGAATACTTTTTATACTCCTAAAGGGTATTATAATTGAATTAAGAAGCCAAAAACGCAGCGAACGACTCGTTTCTGACCATATAAATCATATATATTCTTGATCAGAATTAACAGAAAAATCGATCTAACTATGTCGGGAAGCAAATAAAAAGTTTGGAAATTTTTCGATTTTTTGAATATTTCATAAGGGGTAACATCGTTAAAATTGTCAAAAATTGGCAAAATTTGGATTTTTTACAATTTGTAAAATGAGTATGCAGATTTATAAACCTTATAAAAACTAACACAGAACCGTTTTCCAAATTGAAATTAATACTTTTTTGGCTTAGTTATGTTCAAATAATATTTACACCAGTGCGTATACGTAATTTCTTTTCAGACTGCTAAAATTGCTATAAATAAAATTAAAAACAAAATCGCTGGGACGGGTATTTTTAATGTCTTCTCTGAAGCAATCTAGCAGTCAAAAAGCTAATGGCTGCATTTTAAGCTGTTTCCGGTTTAAATTCAATTCAAAAGTATGCTTCACTTTTCCATTTTTAGCTAATTCACAGAAAATGCGTATACGTGTATATGGCATTCAAATGTTAGGGAAAAACAAACAAACAACAAATATCAGCCGAAGTTTATTTCATTCCAGGGAACCAGTTCCATCTATTATCAAGAAAATAAATGATTTAACTTTAGCTGAAGGTAATGTTTAGAAATGGCAAAAATGGGCAATTAATAAATAATGATTTCAAAATGCACCGCATAAAGAAATCTAAATAAATATATCGAAATGGCCATGAATGATGGGTAAATTGAACTAACACCATCCCTTTTTATTTGGCTGGTAAATAAAATGTGTGTTATTTTAAATTTATGCCAATTTAATCTACTTGAGGCCCACACCAGAACCTTGTCCCATAGGAACGTTCCCGGAACATCATTAATTTTGACACTGGCCCCGGTCACAGTAGTGGAAAGGAAAGTTCCTTTCCTCATTTTCATTTTATTTTCTCATGGACTGCACATAATTGTACAAAGAGGAATTGCTCCGACAGACGGACAATGGATGGGAGAGGAGAGTCGCGAAGGAGAATCCGGAGGACTCTGGCCACAAAAGTGCCGCATCAAGTGACGGACATTTACATAATTATTAGAAACAGTTAAATGTCCACAAATTGTACACTGGCCGGTACACGGGGGAGTCATTACTTACATAACATTACAGCGCGAAGGATGCGGATGCGAAGGAGGCAGAGTGTCCTGCCCACGCTATCTGGCAGCCAAATATCTTTGCTGTAATTTAGGGACTCCCAGGACGAAGCACAGACTGCTCCCGTTGACGTGCGTGCCTTCGACTATTTAAAATTGTTTGCCACTCACTGAAGGACACTGGTCGGACGGGGGGGAGGCGGTGGCAGGAAATAAAATAAAATGTAATTTTTATTAGGCTTGGTGGTTTTTATTGTCTGCTTTATCGTTCTTACAAGTCCTTGTCTTCGCTCCTGACTCTGCAGCTCCTCTGCTTGTCTGATATTTGTCTATGGCATGTCCTGGTCATGCCACAAGTCACACTCACACAGGCTCAGATAAATAGACTAGGCCACAGGACATGCCTTCTTGGCCCTTTGAGATATTTTCGTTTTTTTGTGTTCTATTTTTTTATGACTTTTTTATTGACTTGATTATTATGTTGTTTGTTGTTCTCGGCCAAATGCCGCAAAAGTTTTCTTAGGCTTGAGCCCGAAGAAATTAAAAAATAATTTAGAGCCTGGGCTCAAGGGTTGTGCGGCATAAATTGTGCGGGCAGAGCACAGCCTGTGCTTGATTGGCTTCGACTGGCCTAATAAATAACACTGAAGCCTCAGGCTTCTGTACACAGACGAAGTTTTGATACCCTGGGAATAAGCATGTGTGAATGGGGGATCTAAGAAAAGGTACCCATCATTTCATGTTTGTATAAGGAAGTATTATTTATCTATAATAATATGCATTTAGAAACTCAGACTGAGTTCAGTCTTTTAAGAGTAAACCTTATGATATTTTGAATAAGATATTAAGGTCACACATGGTATACCCTCGATATAGTATATTCCTACCATAAGGAAAAACCTTACTTTTCCATTGATAGACTTGTGTTGTTAATGGCATTTCGAAAACATACTTGGGAACGTATATATGTTCAAATATTTGTATCTACCATATGCGATTTGTTAAGAGGGAGTTTATCTCATATTTCATGCCAGATTGGAAGTACAAAAGTGGCGACGAGTGTAATTCGAACCTGTGTGCGCACTCAATAAATTGTGAAATAAGAAATACAAAAGACTTAGGGGAAAAAATAGGTACAAGTGAAATTTGAAATTTCGACAATTAATTGAAAAAGTGTCCAAGGCACCTTGGCAACACGCGTGGACAATTTATGGGAGCAGCTGCAAAATGAAATGCTACCCAATCCCAATCCCAAGTCCATGGACAACTTTCCGCCAGCGATTTCGGGGGAAAACTAATAACGAAAAGTGTATCGGATGACCAAAGGGATGGAGGGTCAAGCGAATCGGAGAAGTCAAATTGTTTATTTACCAAATCGTTTTTTTTTCTCCACACTGATCCCTCTAGTTCGCTGTTGGAACTTTAAGTCACTTGCTGTTTAAAATCCCATTTTAAAAGGCCATTAAGCTGCTGGCGGTTTAAATTAACTGCCACCAAGAACGTCAAGGACGAGGGGGCCCACAGAAAATGCAAGGGAAATCAAAACAAGATGAACCCAAACACAAAGACGACAAAAAATGGGGGCGAAGAAAAGAAACCACAAAAGAAGAGCAAGTCTCATAATTAAAAATTAAGCCATTCGCCTATTAGTTTTAACCCTCATTAACTTTAGATAAACTAATCTCCAAAGTAAACCACTCGCATTCAGGGCTCGACGACGACCCTTGCCAAAAAGGGGGAATCCCCAACCACCCACACAACCCCCCTGCTTTCGGCCCGTCCCCATTTGAGCTGGGGGTTTTTTATTCCGCGCGCGCCTACAATGCGTGAAAAGCTCATCAACTTGGGGCAACTGCTTCGGAGAAGCAGCGAAATGATGTAGAAACTGAGGAAAAAAAAGAAACTGAACCTAATATGGTAAAAAAAAAGAATAAGAAAGAGCCCATCACATCGAGAGCAGCCAGAGAAAGGAAAGATAATTAAAAACGCAACCTTGATGGAAAATGAAATGTTTACAAAGACACACAGGCCCCCCGTCCCCGAAAATGTAAAGCCAGTGACAGGCGAAGGAAAACAACGTTGAAAGGCGCGCCAAGAAAGCACTGCTCAGCCAGCGGGACAAAACGAAAGCCTGAACGGATACTCGTTGCGGATGCAAAGTTTACTCGGGTAAAACAAAAACACAGAAAAAGAAAAAAATACACACAAAAAAGGCCAAGTAGGAGGCCTAGAAGAGCCACCCACCAAGGCCAAAAGGATGCGGCTAAGGAGCCGGCAACGTCAGGCAGAAATTAACCGGAACATTTTCCGTTTTTGTAATCCCCAAGAGAAATCCTGCTTAAAATAAAACTGAAAGGATCAAAGTTCGTTTGAATAGTTATTATTGAAAAGTTTACACAGAGCATTCAATTTTATATTCATTCGAATATCAAAACAAGCAGAGTCCTGTATAAACAGTAACCTGCTATTATTAGAAATACTTGACATTTTACTTTATACCCGAAAAATAGGTCTTTGTTAATATGCTCTTTCGAAAGTTTATTCAGTTACTTATTGATAGACTTACACGGTTTTTGGTTGTATATATTAATCATGTATATTCAATTAGAGCTACTTATAGTTTAAACACAATTGCTTTGCTCCTTGTTTGCATAGTAATTATATCCTAGGAATACCAACAACAAAACAATTCAATGATAGTTACAAAGCGCCAAAAATTGAGCAAATTACACGAAGCACTTGACTTTACACCTATAAAAGAGGATGAGGAGAATACAAATACGCTTAAAATGAGGGGAACGAGAGCAAACCATTTACATTGTAGAAGAAGTAGAAGAAGAAGCTGCCTTATTGGCCAAATAATACCGCAAGTCGAAACTTCAAAGCATGCCTGGTCATCGGGGATAATAAATAATATATATAAAACTTTACATGGATGAAAAATCTATACATCGATACGCTTAAACTAAATCGAACGACTTTGGGCAATTGTCAATTGTCATAAATGTGGCTCTGTCATGGCTAATTCGTTGATGGTCGATGGTTCTGCTGCTTGCCAGAACCACTGGCCCCCCATCCCGCTCTACTTTGTTCTCGCGGACCATAAGTAGCAACTGCAGCATCATCAGGGCCTGCACCTTGTCCAGTGGATCCATAAATCCACGCTGCAGCCATTTGGGTATGGTGGTTCGGGCATGGCGAAAGCCCAGTTTGTTGAGGATGTAATCAACCCCGTATGGCTCGATGGACTTGCCAGCCCACGAGAGCAGGCGCACTGTGGGCTCCAGGTGCCATGTCTGGCACTCAAAGTGCCGCCAGTCACGCACACACGATTCGAGATCAAAGCTGGGCGGTGAGCTTTCCTGCTTGCCATCTGTGGCATCGCTTGAGGAGCTCGTCGACGGTCCTGTCGCTCCAGTTGATGTCGCTGTGGTGGCGGTAGTGGATGATGATGATGATGACGTTGCTGTTCCTGCGGTCATCGGAGCTGTCGTGGTCGTTGACGCTGCTCCCGACACATTGGCAGCAGCGTTCGCTAGGCTCGAGTGACTGCCCTGCAGCGGATCCAGGCTGCTCTTGCTGGCACTCATCTGCTTGCCTTGGGCAGTCAGGTTCGTATTGGAGGCACCTTTCTTCTCCTTAAGGATCTCGTCGGTCAGATACGGCTTTAGGTTGGCCTTTTGCGAAAGATTTGGTGATGCAGCTCTCGCTGATTGAGCTCCAATCTGGGAATTGAAAAATTATGTGTTAGATTTTGGTAGTCTCCAATAATAACCATCGAAGTTTGAAACACTTTATCGGGTATTTCTCTTCGAAATATATCAATACTTACCACCTTCTCCTTTTCAGTCACGTAGGAGGTGATGAGATCATGTAGGAAAAAGAAGGCATCCGCATCGACGGTCACAAATATGTGATCATCGAATTCGGTAATGAAGCTGCACAAGACTTCTGGCTTGGTTTCTACAAAATTCAAAATTAAATCTTTATTTGAAGCTATATTGAACCTTGAGTGTACTCACCACTAGGCACTGGGATGGTTGGTCCTTGTTTGTGCTCAGTCTTGAAATGCAGCTGCAGGCTAGGCAGGGCAAAGATGACCTCTCGGTTATGATTGTGCTCCTGCGCTTTGGCGGCACTGCTGCTGCCGGAGGCTCGCGTCCGCTCAATGGAATTGGAGGCGATCTCTCGTTCGCATTCCAGAATGGGGAAGCGGTCCACAGCTAAGTGATAGGAGAAAAGATGAAGAAAGGTTAGGGATTAGTTATCCTTGGATAAAACCCACAAAAACTCACCATCGATCTCGCTGTTGGCAAAGGCATAGTGGAACCACTCGTTCAGCGTCTTGAACTGCGGCGGGAAAATGATGTTTCGCGTGATCCGACTTACGATGGCCATCGAGTGGTTCTGCTGCTGTTGCACCTCCGCCGTCTGTCCCAGGGAAGATGTTAGAGTCTGTGTGACCAACACTTCCTCCTCGTTCTGTCGCGCTTCAGTCGCAAAGTTGATCGAGGGGGACCTTAGGCTGAACAGAGCCCACGACTTTGACTTGAAGTTAATGCCGTGAAAACATGCCAACGAGATGTTCTGTCCTCGAAGTTCAACGGTGCCGCCCAGGACGTTGCCATGACGTGGCAGGCGGGTAACCAATGAGGGCACTACCAGACCAACGGCCTGAGCCAGCGGTTTCCGCCAATGGCGATGGTGACGTGCGTCGGTATGTTCCCCGCTCAAACCCTGAATGGGTACGGGAGCAACCAGCTCTCCGTTGGCCGGCTTCTTCTTGAGCTGCTGTCGCCTCTTGATGCTGGCAGAACGGTCTTGGAGTCGCGGCTCCAGGCTGGAGAACACCCTCTTGGAGGACTTGAACTGCTGTGTGAAGAACTCCTCCAGCTTGAAGTACATCTTGAGCAGATCTGCGGTTGTGGACTTGCTGATCATGATCTGCAATTGGTCCCAGGTGAGATCCCCATGGATAAAGATCAGTGCTCTGGCCTGATCCTTGCCATGCGATGGAGGAGCAGCTGCTGCTTGGGAAGCAGTCCGCCATTCATCCTTCATGGCAGCGGAGAAGCTGCTGATGCGTGTCATCAGCACAGAAGTTCCCATGTAGTCCAGCCTAAGTTCCAGTGCCATGAAACTGAGTCCCATGGTGTGGTACGGCTCCATGCCTGCCTCCTCTTTGATATGGAATCGCTGGTTGATCTTGTTCACCTCAAAGCTGCCACCGACTATGCCTCCCTTGGCGTCAAGAGCGGATCCTCCAAGGTAGATGCCAGCATACATGTTCTTGTAGCCAGTGCTGCCAATGGAGAGGCGTCCATCGGACTGGAAGTCCTTGGTGAGCCACACCACATTGCCGCACACGTTGCCAATGTTCATTTGCACATTGAGCTTGGTAAAGTTCACTGCGAACAGGACGAGTGTCTCCCAGGCAGTGATTTGGTTCTTCTCAGATGGGGGAGTTCCCGAGGACTCGGCACTGGAGGATTTGCCCAGGTTCTTAAGCTTCCTTACAGCACCAAAGTGTCCCAATTGCTGCTGCTGCTGCGGCTGACCATCGAAATCCAGGCGCATTTTATCCTTGGCCCTACTTGCATCCTCGCTAGGAGTAGGAGTAGCAGGAGGGCATCCAGTTGGGGTTTCAGCACCATTTCCATGCTGCTGCTGCTGTTGCTGCTGCTGCTGCTGCTGCTGGTGGACACTAAGGTCACCCAGGAAGAGGCGTCTCACAATCCTCCTGCGATACCAGGCCTTGGGAAAAGCCAAGATCTCTGTTAATCTCCTCATGTCGTACTTAAAGCTGGCACTTCCAATATCCACAATGGTGGAGAAGCGGATCACAGCTCGAGACTGATCCAGAGATCTCTTAGAGCTGGGCAGCGGTTCGATGTAGACCTTGCGGCAGCGCGTAATGTGAAACTTGACAAACTCCACGTTGATGCTCAGGGAGTCCTTTCTCTCACTATCGCTTAGCGGTGAGAACTGAGTCTCCTTGGAGGTTTTCTTCCCGCCGTAGGGATGGAAAATGAACACATTAAAGTCGGCCAGGCAACCAGTGACACTCAGTCCGCCGGTGGGCAACGGCTGCTCCGGGTGAGCATGACTTCCTGGCTGCGTGGTTGAGCTCTCCTCCTCGCTGCTCCGCTTGGAGCTGAATACAATATCCAGGCTGGGCAACTGCAGCATACATTCCACGCGGGAGACGGGCAGGCAGCTGAAGCGGAACGTAGAGGGTTGCATGTGGAAATATACGATAACGTCTACGGGGAACGAGGCGTAAGTCACATAGTTGGCAGGCAGTATGTCGAGATTAACAGCAGCGTTGTGGGAGGGCGTTGGGGGAACGCTGCTGGACTGTCGAGCGGGTATGGGCTCTAGGGTCTGCTCCAGGAACTCCAGAATGTGCGGTGATATGATGGTTTCCTCCGGTATACTCTGCAGGGTCATCCAGGCACACAATGTCGCTCGCTTGCTGCCCATCCGGCGACCATGTGGCGGTATTTGATCTCCAGATACCTGATCCGCCAGCGTTTTCGATTGGTAGTGAAGTTTCACATCCAATCCTGGGATGTGGAAAATGGTGAGATCCGCCAGAAGTGCGTTGGCATTATAGCGCAGCTTGCTCTTGTCCCTCTGCCTCCTTGAGGGCGTGGGACTGCCCCAATCGTTGCCAATACTCCGTTCACGTTTATGGGATTTAACACTCGAAGCTGGTACGCTGCTGCCTGCTGCTCCTGATCCTGCTGCGTAACCCTGGGCCCTGTCCTCGCCCGTTTCCTTGGTGTGGAGTACGCATTTCCCGGAGTTCACTAGTACCTTGATGTCCAGTTCGAAATCGATATTGGGTTCTGCTTGTTTCTGGCCATGGCCATGCTTTCGGCGCATCTCCACGGAGGTGCCGTCCACATCGATCTCGCTGGGCGTAATGTCTCCGCGCCAATCCAGCTCATTGTCCGCCGTCTCCGTGTCCGTGTCCGCATTGGGAAGCGATGTCTGACGCATGGCTTCGGTGAAGGTCACTCGACCCAGGGGATTAATGCCTCCGCCGACTATACCGCCTCCTCCAGTCTGTTTCAGGGACGCACTGCGCGAATGACAGGAGGCTGGAGTGCTTTGCAGGCTGGATATCTCGTCATTGGAGGCAATTGTGTCCAGTCTTCGGCCTGAATAGCTTCCATTGTCCAGAGTTTGTGGCACTCCCACTCCAGTTACCGAAGATCCTGCTCCGATATACGACTGCGAGCGACCATAGTTCTTGAGAGATCGCCTCAGCGAAGGCCTCTTCCACTTCTGGATCATGTCCCGGCGAAAATATTTGTAGCAAATAGCCTGCAGCTCCTGCAGACGCCTCTCTTCATGCGCTACTGTGTTGTGGGAAGCGCCCAGAGTGCGCAAATCGTTGATAATCTTCAGCTGCTCAGCCATTTCCTTCTCCATCATGAACGAACGCTTCTTGGAGTCGATGGTGGGATCGAAAACGAAGGCTGGCAGGTTGTCGAAATCGCCTCTCCTTCTCACAAATGTATCCCTGCAGCTCTGGTCCCCTTCATCGCTGTCGGGTGACTCCATTTGGGTCTCCTCCTCCTCGAATCCGGTGAGCATGGTCAGAGTGTGACCCAGCGAACTCAGCTGCTTGCCAATGTTTACGTCCAAGTGGATATCCACGCCTTCCATCTGCCACTTGACATTCAGTAGCCATTTGGCGTTTTCACCCTTCTTGGCAGCCGTGGTGCGAGAGCAAACCTCAAAGGTTCCCTCGGACACCACGCAGACATTCATAATGGGCTCGGCACTATTGGGCTTCCAGTCGTCCAAATTCGTCTCGAAGTCGTCGGCGAAGCGCAGGCACAGTCCCTGGAACTTGCCCTTCGACACCAAGGCTCCCGAGTTGCAGGCGGATATAATGGTGTTCTCCAACGTGATCACCACCGCGCCCTTTGCATCAAAGTCCTGATAGGAACGGGAGCCAAACGTAGTGTTGACCTGCTTCAGGGGCAGACAGATGCCCATGTCCTCGACGGTGAGTTGGAGGAAGAGCGTGGATAGGTTGGAGCTGGCTATCTGGCCGAAGGCAACGCGATCGAACACCTGCGGATTCTGGTTCTGCTGCTGCTGGGCCGCCGAGTACTGACTGTACTGGCTGTGCTGGACGTGTTCGTGGCAGAGGTTCGCCCTCTTCTCGGCCCAGTACTCGTAGGCGTTCTTGTAGTTCAGCCAGACGAGGATGGCCTTATCCACTGCTATGGGCTGGACGTAGACCAACGGTCTCTTGAGCGTGAGCAGAATCAACTCTTTGTCCTCGTTCAGCAGCTCATCCTGGAAGGCATTCCTCAGCCCAATCGTTGTGTGAAAGAAGGCATACTGCTGGAACTCTGGCTCAGCCTCGTCAAAGATCACATTGCGGATGATCTGGCCCAGGGATAGGTTGAAATCGATGTGGGCTTTGAAGAAGAGCTTCCGGTTGCTCATATCGCCCAGGTTCTTCACCCGGTTCGATAGCTGCAGCTCCAGAGTTCCGGTTTCGAAACGAACTGCCGACGAGCAGGGTGTGGTGGCTGTCAGCTGGATGCGCTTCATTGAGATGTTGATGGAGAAGAGGATGCGTTTGAGTGACGACTCCTGCACTGCTCCGGAGTTATCGCCACTCTCCTCAGTCCACAGGGGCACTGGCTTCTCGCCTCCATACACCTTTTGCAACACCTCGTTGATTTCGCGCATGAACACCTTTTGCACAAAGACCAGATGGTTCAGGAGATCTGTGGTCAGGCAGCGCTCGAACTCCCCAATCTCAGCACTGGCATTTACGTAGCCACCTTGACGCAGTACGATTCCCTCGGTGTTTTCTGTGTGATCCTGACGATGGTCGGGTATATATTCCGCCAGAACGTGAACCGGTGGCAGGCCAATACAGGCCTCTGAGGGCAGATTCATTTCATTCTGCATAGCGAAAATATTGGCAAAAATATGAAATATTATTTTTTAAATATTTAGTTTATAATTACGAAAACCAGCGGTATGCCATTAGTTATGAATTTGATCAGTGATTGCAAAAATGGATTAATTTACTATTAGTATCCAGTGAAAAGTATGAAATTATGAATTAAAATTATTTAAAAATGGATTAATTTACTATTAGTATGCAGTGAAAAGTATGAAATTATGAATTAAATAAGATAATAATGCTTTAAGTTAAGAAAACTTAAATTACCGCATCAAAAAACAAATAAATATTAATAGAAAATATATATATACATGTATGTATAATACTACAACAAATATTTACTTTAGGAATTCAGAAAAACGTTTAAAATTATAAACCAACTTCTATACAAAGTTTTTAAATGAAGCAAACATAATTTATAAAGAATTCCAGCAAAATAATATTTCATATTTTGGCGCCTAATGTAGAAAAGCAGAGCTGCTAGTGTGACCCTTCTTGGTACAAAAAATACCAAATTCAAAATGGACCCTGGCAAATTTTGTGCTTTTTGTCGAGTGAGATAATTGCAAAATTGTTTGTCATTGCAAAAAAAAAAAAAAAACAAAAAAAGTTCATACAATAAACTTCGCGCACACCCTGTTTCCCTTAAACAATAAAGTTTGACAGGCACTGTGAGTACGACATTTATACGTTTTGCGATAATTTATAACGATACGAGACGCGATTACGTTTGATTATCTTATCGCCTTAAGCTGAGCCAAATTCCCGATTAAATTTTCTGTTTCTGTGCTACATTTGGCCAGTTAGGATTGACCACGCCATGAAGAGCACCACGCAGATCCTGGGCAAGCTGAGGGAGCTGATGCAGCGGGCCAAGGTGGGCGACTCCGCCTGCATTGCGGCATACATAGTGCCCTCGGACGACGCCCACCAGTCGGAGTACCAGTGCCAGCACGACGAGCGCCGCGCCTTTGTCAGCGGATTCGATGGTTCAGCGGGTACGGCGGTGATAACCACCGAGACTGCCCTGCTGTGGACCGACGGGCGGTACTATCAGCAGGCGGAGAAGCAACTGGACGATAACTGGGTGCTCATGAAGGATGGACTGACCACCACGCCCTCGATTGGCGCCTGGCTGGCCAAGAACCTGGCCAAGGGTAGCTCAGTGGGCGTAGATCCCCGTCTGCTGTCCTTCCGCGTCTGGAAACCCATTGAAACCGAGCTGAACTCCGCCGAGTGCCAGCTGGTGCCCATTGAGAGCAACCTCATCGACGAGGTGTGGAGCGGGGAAGGCCAACCGGCCCGTACCTCCAACTCTATTATCACCCTGAATCTAGAGCATGCGGGTATCTCGGTGGAGAAGAAATGGGAGACTGTGCGCAAGCAAATGAAGGATAAGAACGCAGATGCCCTGGTGGTCAGTGCCCTGGACGAGATCGCCTGGTTCTTGAACCTGCGCGGATCGGACATAGACTTCAACCCCGTCTTCTTCTCGTACTTGATTGTGACCAACGACGAGCTGCTGCTCTTCGTGGACTCAGCCAAGCTGCCCTCTGACTTCGCCAGTCACCAGCAAGAGAACAACGTAAAGATAACCGTTCTGCCCTACGAATCCATTGGATTGCAAATCAGCAAGATTGTGTCGAGCAAGGAGTCGAAGATCTGGATTGCTCCCACTAGCAGCTACTACCTAACCGCCCTGATTCCCAAATCGCGCAGACTGCAGGAGGTGACCCCCATCTGTGTGCTGAAGGCCATCAAGAACGATGTGGAGATCGAGGGATTTATCAACAGTCACGTCCGCGACGGAGTGGCTTTGTGCCAATACTTTGCCTGGCTGGAAAACCAGCTGGAGATTGGCGCGGAGGTCGACGAGATTTCCGGTTCCGATAAACTGGAATCTTTCCGCCGCTCCAAGGAGAAGTACATGGGCCTGAGCTTTACCACCATCAGTGCCTCAGGACCCAATGGCTCCATCATTCACTATCATCCCAGGGAAGACACCAACAGGAAGATAACCAAGAACGAAGTCTATCTGTGCGATTCAGGTGCTCAGTACTTGGACGGGACAACGGATGTAACGAGGACTCTGCACTTTGGAGAACCCACAGAGTTCCAAAAGGAAGCATACACTCGCGTCCTGAAGGGACAACTGAGCTTTGGATCTACCATATTCCCAGCTAAAGTCAAGGGTCAGGTTCTGGACACCCTGGCACGTAAGGCCCTGTGGGACGTGGGACTGGACTACGGTCATGGCACTGGCCACGGCGTCGGTCACTTCCTAAACGTTCACGAGGGCCCTATGGGCGTGGGCATTCGCCTGATGCCCGACGATCCCGGTCTACAGGCTAACATGTTCATTTCCAACGAACCGGGCTTCTACCAGGACGGCGAGTTTGGCATTCGGGTCGAGGACATTGTCCAGATAGTGCCCGCCACCCAATCGCCTCACAATTTCTCTAACCGCGGAGCCCTGACCTTTAAGACTATCACCATGTGCCCGAAGCAAACCAAAATGATTAAAAAGGAGCTCCTGTCTGATGCGGAGGTGAAGCTGCTCAATAGCTATCATCAACAGGTTTGGGAAACCCTTGCCCCGATTCTGACATGCGAAGGAGACGACTTTACTTTGGCCTGGCTCAAGAAGGAAGTTCAGGCTATATAAGAAATGGGGACGAGCCTCTTCTATTAAATATCTATTCTGTTTTCTTGAGACGCGACTTTAAGATGCCTTTTATATATATCTTAGAAAAAGGCAATTCAATTGTTAATCAATTAAACGCATTTACAACCAATAAATAAATAATGAAAATGAAAACATTTGGCAAAAACTCACCTGAATCTTCGTGTTAAAGCTGAGCGTGTGCGTGGGAAGATCGATGACAAACTTGGCTCTTTGGCCGGTCACTCCCATCGAGCTGACATGATTCATCCGGTACTGGGCCTGGAGCGAGGGCAGCAGAGCCGCATTGATGGATAAGCTCTGGAGGAGCACATTGAACTGCATGACGAGGGGTTGCAGCAATCCGTTCTGATGCTGTGCCTGGGTTCCTGCTTTGGACTGAGCCATGTGTGAAGCGGCTGCCCTTCGAGCCGCCTGCTGGTGGGGCTGGTGCTGTTGGGCTCCTGCTCCACCGGAGACAGTGCGCTCTCGCATTTCACTGGCCATTCCGCCGCCACTACTAGTTCCTCCGAGTTGCGGGCATGGAACGGGGAATCCGGCTCCTCGGCCGTATGCGAACGGAGAGTGGAGCGACCAGAATTGCGCTTAACTCGCAACTCCTGCAGTGTGGAGGACAACTGCTTAGAACTGCGCGTCATCATGCCATGCAGCGCAACTGGATGCTGTGGAATGTCTATGTTGATTGCTCCAATGGAGAGCAGACCGCTGTTCTTGTCCTTGCCTCGCTTCGAAAGGCTCGAGTACAGCGTCTGGCTCTTGCCAACAGTCACCTTTACCACGGTCCTGCAATGAAATGAAAAATATATAGAACCAGCGAATGGGAAAACTATCTTTGAACTTACTGTTGACTGGGAGCTACTCCCTCCAGCAGCACAATCATGGCTCTGCCAACCTGGCCAGTAAGGGAGCACTCCAAGGAAACGGGACGCGCCTTCTTTCGCCAGGTGGCCGTGCTGTTCAGCGTGGTGATCTCCGATTCCAACTTGAGACCGGAGAGCGTGGCGAGCAGTCGAGTTTTGTGTATTTTTGCCACTCCAAAGACAATCAATCGCGTTCGCTCCTGGGATGGTGCATCCACCAGCAGCATCTCACGATGCTGAGGCACCGGTGTGGGAGCACTGGCGAGATCATCTTCATCATTGCCGAAAGCATGAGGAGGCTTACTCTTGTGCTCGTTCAGGGAGCTCCTTTGGACCACGGTCTTGGTTTCCGGCATGGTACCATACAGCTCAAGCAGGTGGTAGATGGTCTTCCAGCAGTTTGGCGTCTCCAACAGAGGAGCCATCGTTGGCATTCCCGCTTTGGTGAGGGTATTCTGGTAGTCGCCACTCATACTGGTAGCACAGGCACCGTTCAGTGAGGCCTTCGACTCCGTGGACATCTTGAGGATATTCTGCTCATGGATTGACATCGTGGGACTGTCCCTTAAGGGCGAGGAGCTGGATTCATTCAAGTTCGTGTAGCCCAGCTTGCCCTTGACGGATTTCCCAGTTGATCGAAGCTTCTGGGCGAAGCTCTGCGGCCGGTTCTTGGCGTTGGGCGAAGGCGTGAGTTGAATAATGGGCGCCAGGCCGCCTGGACGTGGCCTGGCTATTGTCGTGGGCATAGTTTCGTTGAATTTATCATAGCGCTCGTCCGAGTAGTTCTCTCCATGACCGAAGCGCTCGGCGACCGAATTGAAGGGCAAGATATCTGTAGGCTCGGAAGCTGCAGGAAGAAATAGGAGATTGGTAGAGTTGTCACTTTCGGAATATACAAGGTTTATCCTTACCCAGACTACACTCATCCTTGGTCTGGCTCTTTTTGCTCAACTCGGGCTGCTCGTGAAACTCGTTCTGGGCGTCCTTTACATTCTGATACATGTTGCAGATCTGGTGGAGCAGCCTCAACAGCGGCATGTTAACCTGCTGCGAGATGAACCTTACATTAAGGCTGAAGTTGATCACAGTGCTGGTATGCTTCTTCAGCTGGCGCCGGGACATATAGATGACATTCTGGCGTGCCTGATCCACCATGCCATCGGACATCTTCAGGACCTCCAGCTCCACACCCACTCGCTCGCAAAGGAATAGGGGAGTGTCCATCATGATGGAGGCCCTGCCACCACCATTTGATTTCTTGCTCAGTTTCGCTGGCTTCTGGGCCGAGTTCTTTTTGTCACCCGCCTCGCTGACAACAATGTCCACGCGAATGGAATCGAAGGTACCGATCAGCGATAGATTGGTGCCAAAGTTCTCCAGCGATGAGATGTCTGCGTTGGAGAACTTGTTGATCATCTGCTGGGGCATCACGCCCAGGCAAGTGAGGAGGGGCTCGAAAATCAAATGAGCATCCAGTAGCTTGATGGAATCCTGCATGATTCCACTGCGAGACTGCCCCGTATAATGTCCATGCATCTTGGGCGGAGCAGGGCGAGCGTGCTCCTTCTCGGCAAAGTGCTTCTTTTTGCTATCCTGTTGCTTGGCCATCCAGAAGTACAAGTCCTCCTTGTGGTTCTCGGCTCCCAACCAGAATTTATTAACCGAGTTGGTGGAGCTCAGAGAGCCCTCCTGCAACGCACCGTACTCTGCAATCACAAAAAAGAGATTAAATAACTTGATTTCGACTTTAAACAGCGTTTGCTTAACGACTTACCAAATTCCGGCATTTGCTTCTCCACCAGCCCAGAAATAATGGGCAGCATTTGAATGCTAGAACGAGATGAATTGCCATGTGAATAATTCGAGGCTTTGCTGTGCACTTTGCTCAAGCTGAAAAGCACATGGACACAAGGACACAAGCATGGCATTAATGGGAGGCGTGGTGATGGATGGATAAGCAGGCGTTCACTAAAAACTTACCCACGACGCGGGAGATGAATATTTGGGGAAGTCGAAGTGGATCGTTGTGAAGCAGTTCCATGGTTTCCAGTCTCATGAGCATACGGGAGTCCTCCGCCGTACTGATTGTTTTCTACAGAGGCAAAACAGGAGGATGGATAGAGGGGTTAATAAAGGGTATACACATTTGGGAAAAGAACACTCTTCGCTGAAACGTTGTACACTAAACGCAATGAACATTTAACATTACTTACAAAAAGTGAAGTAAATGAAAACCGTTTTAAAACCAGTCTTCTTTGCTTAGTGTACAACTTACTTAGGTATAAATTTTGTTCCATAGAAAAGTAGATAGAGTTTATAGCCGGAAAGGATAGAAGAGTTTTGTATTGAATTGTAGAGTATAGTATAATGCAAACGGAAAGCATCAAACACAATGAAGTGAACATTCAAAGCGGTGGATAACTTTTGTGTTGTAGTGGGAGTGTGTTTAGAGACAGAAGAGAAAGAAATCAAGGAAAGTGGGGGAAAATAGGGGTAGAGTTTAAAGCAGCACACACTAGGGATGTTTATCATAGGAAATATTGATGTATCATATCAAAAATAAATTCATTAAATGGTAACAAATGGTTACTATCGACATGATAGAATAATATGTACAGAATTTAAAGGGATATCAATTTATAGCAACGCTAAAACCTCGATTTATAAATCGTTTTTCGCGTTAATTATCGTTGCAGTATGAATAAGTCGATAGGTCTGACATCCCTAGCTCACATACACACAGCAAAGGCATTTTTTAACTTCTGGTTAGGTTAGCCTTTAAACAAACACATGCATCAAACAAGGAAAGGGAAAAGATAGACACAGAGAAAGGAACCTAGAACTATACATATAACTAGGTTAGAAGGAGATATAACCAGGAGAGCGTTAATCAAAAAAATACCAATGTGAGTTCGATGATGCTGTGTTTGCCCAAGTAATAATGCATTCTCACTCTCTTCCGGATTCTCGCCGACGCCCGAATAGGCGCCCATTTTCAACACTCATGCGTTCTCCGCCTCCTCCTCGTTCTGGGGAACGAGAAGGTCACGTTGATGGGCCGTGCAAGCTTGTTCTTGTACTGGTGTTCGAACAGAATGGGATTAGAGGTGTTCTTCCACTGTCGACTAAGCACAATGATGCCCTGGAAAAGACATTCGTTACAGAAATACAACGTTTAAAAAGAGGCAACTGCTCACCTGTCGCAGGGTTGAGATGCGGTACATCATGCTGCTTGAAAATCGGTTCGATGCGCTCCACACCTTCGTCCAGCACCAGCTTTTGCATGATGTAGCACAGCTGGCAACTGGGATCCTCCTGCAGTGTCTTGGAGAGCAGCGTGTAGTTGTTGGCATAACGACTCTGCAAAACGATAATGTAAGAACTCATCTACATCTATACTTATAGCCTTGTTACCTTCTTTATCTTCGGGTTCCTTTGGATCTTCTCGTTGTCCATGGCCTGCGCCATGAGGCAAGCGGCACTGCCGTCTGCCTGGTGTGCAGGGCTTTCATGAGGGAGACGATCTTGATGGCCAGCCGGTTGCTAGGATTCATCCAGGCCGTGATAGCCGGTGAGGCGGTGCTGAGAAGATTCCAGTCCAGACGCGTTAGATCGATCTTCCGTGTGATGGGCACACAGGGCGGAGCAGCAAAGTTGAACCACACCGACTTCAGTTCGATTACACAGGAAGAGGTCTTGTCCGTTTCCTTGACATTGGACAGCACCTTGTCGTAGGCATCCTTTGAGTTGTTTCCTGCCCCGCCGCTAGGGTTCTTTTGCGTTCCTGTTGGATTATTGCCTGTGGCCGCTCCCTTTTCCACATCCTCATCTAGAGGTTTGGGTGTGGATTTCCTGTCACCAGCCGCCGAGGAGGAGTATCTGCACCTGCAGCATTGCCTTCTGATGCCTTGGGGTCTTCGGAGTGGAGGCTTTTTGGTTATCAATCTCCAGGCAGCTTCCGCCTTGGAAGTGGCTCCTCCGTCACTGGAAGCAGCTGCTCCTTCGTTCTGGCCACCAACTAGATCGTTGAGATTGAAGCCTCCGGTAGAGGTGGTGCCTTCAGCACCCGCTCCTGCCATTTCGGCCAACTCCTCCTTGCTGTTCTCCGACTTCTCAAAGTGCGAACGCTTCACAATCTTCACACCCACGCCCTCCAATCCACACTCGAACATAATGTAGCCAATGCTTTCGATACCCGTGCTCTCTGGCATTTTCAGGCACTCGAAAAGCACTTTGCTCTTGTGTTCCGGAATGGCGGTGACGATGATGGGCGAATCCTGCGCACACGACTGGCTCTCAGTCTTCAGGCGACGCAGTTGGGCATGGGCTCTGCCTATGTCCAGCGTGATGACGAGCTCCTCCAGCTGCTTTTCAGAAGTTTCAATCAGTATGGGCTCACCTTGAACATTGTCTGGTCGCGTCTGTGACGAGAGGTGGGCCAAGAGAGCCCGTGTGCCCTTCATAATGCCTCCTTTCTTGTGCTGCCGACTGCACCGTCTGCTGGATGTATACGTTGTGCATGGAGGCACGCGTGGTCTTGCCAGATGGAACTTCGTGGATATGCCCTCCATGTAAAAGTGAGCAGGGAAACGCAACTCAGATCCTGGACAGTAATTAATTGGTTATTAATTTCATCAAATTAAATGTAAAATAAAAATAGAGCTGCCTGTACCTGAACGTTATCCCGCTGCCACTGAGATGATCTCCTCCACAATGGAGGACTGCAGCATGGTGATGCTGACCTTGGGCAGCACAATCAGTCCCTGGGTCTTTGTGGAGATACTCTCCTCGTATACGTCGCTGAGGAACGAATCCCCGGGTCCCTGGAGATGTCTCTCTGTTGTGGATCGCTTCGAGTTGGAGTGCACCTGGGACCAGTAGCTGAGGCTCTGATCTCGCTTCAGGATGTTGTCGTTGTTCACCTTCGCAATGCACGAGGTGTGGATGAAGTTTACCACCGAAAGCAAGTGCATTGATTGGATTGTGGAACGGCGGCTTCAACCATTCTGGAAATCAAATTAATTATATTAAATATAGATTTTAGCAATTTAAGCAATTTACGATATTCACAGTGCTAAAAGTAACGAGCTTTACAATTTGAATTGTTATCGTAAAATATACCAAACTTTGGTATATTTTTGTGAACCGTGGACACATCACGTAAGAAGATTCCGGTATTTATGACTTTACGTTGTTTGTTTACGTCTTCATTTATCAACCTGTTGGTCACACTGTCCCGGTCCGCGTGTTGATAAAAAACATAAAACTGCAAAATGAAAACACCAAAGGCAAAAGAATCCAAAAAAGCTGAATTAAAAGCTGTGAAAAATGAACCTGGTTTGTCGGAAGACAGCAAGGAGGTCAAGAAGCCCAAGAGCAAGGCCAAGAAGAAGGCACCTAAGGTACCCAAAGAGGAGGTAAAGGCAGCGGTCCAAGAGAGCCCCAGAAAAAACTGTCCGCCAAGGATGGCTAAAATCGAGAAAAAGAAGGCCAAAAAGCTGGCTCAGAAGCTAAAGAAGCAACAGAATAAGGCGCCCTCTAAGGAGTTAAGCAGGAGGATTCTGCTTCAGAACCCACCAAAGTAAAGGGCAAACCCATAAAAAAGGAGGGGGAGAAGTCAAAGCCGGCGGTCGCCAAGGCAAAACCAAAGGGAAAGGCCACCAAAGCCAAGGCCAATAACAAAGATGAGGGTAACGTAGATTACAACCGCTTCTTGAATCTATAGAAATCAATAACATTATTATTCTCCCCAACAGGAGCCGTCAAGAGGGAACGCAATCCTGCTGACGAGGCAGCCACTGTTTTTGTGGGTAATCTTCCCATTAATACGAAGCGAGTGCAGATAGTCAAGCTCTTCCAGCCATACGGAACTGTCCAATCCATTCGGCTGCGTACAGCTGGTGGCAAGCTGCTCTTCAAGCACAAACAGCGTAAAGAAGCCGGCTCTCTAAATGCCTACGTGGTGCTGCAGACTCCAGAGATTGCCCAGAAGGCACTGGAACTGCACGGCTCCGAGTTCAAGGATAACCATCTGCGCGTGACGCCGGCGGCCAAGGCGGTGGATGAGTGGAACGGGCAGAATAAGGAGCAGCCCAATGACAAAGATGCTAAGCGTACAATATTTGTGGGCAGTCTGAAATACTGTAAGGGATAAACCAACAACACTTCCTACTTCCTATTACTCTCTACAAAGATTCAGGGAATAACCTTTTTATAATTCTTTTTTAGCGGCCAATGAGGAAAAGCTGCGTGAGATCTTCTCCAGCTGCGGTGAGATCGACTACATCCGCTGCCTCCAGGAAGGCGTCAAGGGCTGCAAGGGAGTGGCATACGTATGCTTCCAGAAACCCGATGCCGTGGGCTTGGCCTTGGAACTAAATCAGACCCTTCTGGATGATAGACCCATCAATGTGGAGCGGTACTCCGTAAAGAAACTGGGTGCCAAGCAGGTGCGCGACGCCGCCGCAGCCGCTGCTGCTTCTAGCACATCTGGAAAGGCTAAGGCCAAAAAACAGAATTCTGCTGGGGCAAAGAAACGATTGGATAAGAAGAAGGGCAAGGACAATGGCACGAAGGAGACCAAGGCAGCAGCTGGAAGTGGTCAGAAAAGAAGTCCGAATACCGGGGCGTGAAGGTAGACGGCATC